TAGCAGCTGGAGGTTCCATTATAAATTATTGATAATGATTTCTATAAAATACCGTCATTGTTTTATTTTAATTCTTTCTCAGTCTGTTAGAAAGAAGATGGAAGGAGTGTGAATATAAGGAACTTGACTAGCTTTCGTCCAACAATTTCTTACCTGGACGAGGTTCCACTTGACGGTGACCTGCGAGGAGGTCTTGTTGTCCACCTCTAGCTGCACTTGCGCCCGCTGCCCTGGCACGTAGCCCGTGAAGGGCAGCGCGGCGGCTAAGGAGACGGGGCCTGACCGGCAGCACCAACAGCACAGCGTCTGCTCATCCGATGCCGTTCGCGGCTCCTGCAACTCACACCACGAAGACGGTTCTCTCGTTCAAACACCGGCTCCATCAACAGGTTAGGGACCTGTTAGCAGGGTTGCCAGATGTGTTACGAGCCCTTACCACCACCACCATCATTTTATAAAGGGACCCGGGTAAACGTTTCGTGGGCGGACCTACACTCATTTCATAACGCTACTGCCCGTACCACGTGACTCTCCGTACTGCCGCTGTCGCATGGTTTGTATATGGTGGAATCCAAAACTTCGGTCTATTACTATTCGGCGAGTTAAAAAAGAAATATTAAGAGCCGAACCAAACGGAATGCAGGCACCAACGTATACAATAATGAATCTAAATGTATATTTTATCCCTTAACCACCGTATCCCTTAACCGACAGCAGGAAATTAAAAATCATCGTGTACAAGCAGAAGTGTTTGCTAGACGAAGGATTTTTTTTCGGGAACCCTTCTCTACCAAATTATAAGGCATGCGCAAATTTTAAGGCGTAACAATTTTGTAAGTCCCAATTCTATGCGAGCTTTTTCTTGAGCTTACCTTCTGCTTGTAATGGTAGAAGTAGAGCCTGGGGTGGCGTACTGTTTTGCTAGTAATAAAGAAATCTAACGTTTGTTTACCTATGCAAGTGAGTTTTCTATAGCTCGGGAGCGAAAATATCTAGTTTTCCAAAGCTAATAACTTCGCTTTTGTTGAAACTTGTATTCATCATTCAACTATTTGAAATTAAAATATTAATAAGAGATCCCGGAGCTTAAGAAAATGTACGAAGATGATCTCCCCATAAGTCACACATAGTATTTACTGATTTTTGATTAAATAAATCAAATCAAAGGCTTGAGACCTCTTCAGTTGAACCTTAGGCTTCTCATATATATGATAAAGTTCAGTAATAAAGGCAGCACCCTGGATGAATAATGTGATAAAAGTTACTGTGACGGGGGTTTTAAAATACATACATTGAAATTTTATTGAATTTAAGTTATTTATTGTAAATTCTACGTTTTTATCGTCGGTTCTATGCGTTTTCTAATGCTGAACTATGATTTGAGGTTTTCCACGTAGACTAATGTCGGATTCACAAGGAGAAAAAAATCGTTGTTATAAGTTTCTTGCTTACATCTCGACAACTATAGCCTTTTTTGATATGGCCTACATATACTAAATTAAAGTAGAGAAAATTCGCCATAAAATGCATATTATTTCTTTAATTTTGTTTCTTTCATTTACTTTTTGGCGTAGGGAGTATTGTACATAGTATAGAAAAAAATATTCAATGCTGCGGAAAAGCGATTTCGAGTAGTTTTTGGATTAAAACTTGTTGAAACAAAATATTCCATATCTCCTTTTAAAAACATTAATAAAATAATTCTTTTAACTTAGGCTATTTAAAACCATGTATCATGTAGATTATTATTTAGCTGTCACTTTTATAACAATTTAATATTTACCTGTAAATTAGTAATGTTATTTAAATCCAAAACGCTTAGTACAGTGTAAGCCACTTTAACTTCATGGTTGGATTTCCAAGTACGAACAATTTTGGCCTTTACTGTGTAACGCACATGTCCATTACTGCCTTCAAAAGACGATGGTAATTCTTGAGGTAGAATTAGGGCGAAGTGGTAGGTATATTGTCCTGGAGGTAGCGTTATATCATCATCGTCTGTTCAGGAAGAAATTTCAACATCAAAGAGAAAACAGCAGGTGAAAATTGTATTTTCTAATGAAATAAAATAAAATAATAAACAAGGTTATTGATGTAAAGGAATCTATGAGAGCTTTTTCTTATCTAGCGAAATGCGCAAGTGAGTGATGACAAAACCTCAATCTTCCCCTTTTTACGTTTCTTGCAAAGGTCATCCGCTTACAGCGCTTCGTTCAACTGATTCAGATGCTTTAAAATTAAAATATTACCATACAAATATGAAAAAAGACACACTTCAATTCTACTTAATCTTGTTGAAAAGGGGAAAAGAGATAGATTTATTAATATCGCACGTAAACATTATATTTACTTTCGCTTTGAAGATGAAGTTTGCAAAATTTCATCAAGGTAGAAAAGAACCGAAATAAAACAAATGTTCTTCTTACACACGGCATTTTCTCAAACACGGCTCCAATTTTTTAACCTTTTTGTACGGATATTATTAAATGTACTGAATAAAATGACATTAACACTATTTTTATTTATTATTTTGTTTTTCATAAATTACACAAATGTAATTTTAAAACGTTTTTATACATTATTTCAATTATGAATAGAAGTGCTTCAAGGTATTTCCAATGAAGTTTCTCGGAAACTCAAAAGGTTTGTGTGAAAGTTAGCCCACAATTGCACTTTTTTAAGTCTAAGAAGGCATATTCTCAAAAACGCCTTAAGATTTTTCAACACTACGCTTAAGGGGCCATTTTTCATTCTTCTACAATATTCTTAAGGTCATATTTCATTTATGATCTTAGTGAAAGGTTCACAAAATGTGAAAATGTGTCGGCAATCGACGGCAGGTGGGAGGAGGGTGGGGCAAAACCAAAAAGCTATCCTAGACTAAAGATATTACAAAACTAACTAGTACAAGAAAGTTTGTCATTCTGTTACACCACTAGTTTGAAATATTTCTCACGATGTTAATATTAACGTTGCGATCATTTCTAATGCATTATCGAATTTGTGAGTACAATTGCTTCAAATATTTTTTTATTAAGTTTCTCGAAACCCACACGTGTTTGGCAAGAATGGGCTTTAAAATGGCATTTTTAGAAAAGCTCAAACGACATAACAGCTCCATATTTTTCCACGAAATGTATATGTAACACCAAGGTTTATCTTTCTGTAATATTCTTAAAACCACTATTACGGATTTGAAAAATTGAGAAAACGTGGGCCATAATTTTTGGGCGCCAGTTTATGGAATCTGCGAAGAGGGCGTGACAAACGGAATAGAAAGCACAGACTAAAAGGACAAGGAAGTTAACAAGTATGATAAATTTTGTGCCATTCTGTAGCACCACCGGGCCCTAATATGAAGCTGTGGTAAAAGTCACGATTCTGTTATTAACGAAACGAGTGTATAAAGAAGGATTTAATTGCATGAGTGGTATGTTCAAGAAAACTAACGACTATAAGAGTGCGTGCAATCATACCCATTTAAATACATAACACATACAATATTTTTTTCGTTTCCTTTATGAATAATTTAAATTTCGATAAATTCAAGCACACCTTTACCATCCGAAGCTTACATTTGATGACCTATTGGTTTTGAAAAATATTTATTTTATTGAGGCAGAATTTGCATTGTTTGTTTGCACGAAATATTTGCAAATGGAAGGTACTGAACAAATTGCTGGTAGAATACTAAAAGAAGCTGACACTGTCCTGAAAACACTACTTTGCAGTAGCAATCTTCAAAGTATGAGACAGAATAAATCACGTATAAATATTGGGGAAAACTTGTCTTGTGTGAGACAGTTTTGATATAATATACTTCTTAGAAGTGGTGAACACAACTGACGTTTACATTTTTTTACATTTGTAATCCTAAGTGTAAATGTTTAACATATAAAACATGTAATTGATTCGTGTTAAATATTTGTATCATATGTTGCTCCATGAGTAAGCTGGCTTAATGTTTACTCCACCAATTTACTTTTATTCATTTGTTGATTATATGCACTTGTAGATGCGTATCTGTGATGTAAATGTTTGTGCATGTTTCATGGTCGACTGGAAATACCTTGGGAACGTCTGTATTATAGTTTCGCAATCAAACGATTTGGCTCCTTTTCTGTATTCTGATTGGTAGTTTTAATTGCGCGCGTGCTATTAATACATAAACAATCAACGATTTTCCATGGGGTTAATGAGCATATTTCGTTAAATAAACAAAAAACATTAAATGCATGATTTATTCCGCTTTCAATTAAAGGGATTAGGAAATTATTTATACAAACTGGAAAGACAT